CCATCTTGTCTACAGAGCTGTGGAAGATAACCAGCATGATGCTTTTCCACCTCAACATTCACCACCTCTGTGATGTTCTTTCTTCTGCAGCCAGAGTGTTTGAGGATTTCTGAAAATATGATCTTATTGATAATTCCATTATTGTCCTTTGATGTACAGGACAGTCCTTCAAGCCGAACTGCCACCATCTTCATGAGTTGAGCTGTGCCCACTTGCAAAAGATCATCAAGCCGGGCCTGTTGACTGTTGACATTTCCTCATACAAGGAGGGGAGGGAGGGTCATAGAATCTGCATTTTCGTATCCAGCTATTCCTCCTAACCAATTGGTGTGTAATTTTGCCCTGATTACACATAAAGTCAGGGAAGGGCTGGACTATATATAGTAGGAAGGACTAGGGCGGGGTTTTATTTATGTGCCAACAGTCATGCATGGTGCAGACCCTCCTGTGTGGGGGCTTTAAGCCCCTGTGCTCCAGCCCGTAACCTTTCATTCATATCTCTGTAAGTAAGCCCAATGGGTCTCCAGAGTGAGCTGTGGTGGAATCATGCTTCAGTTTGTCTTTAGGACCTCTGGTGAGGGGATAGTTATTTATATATTCTCCATAGAACAGATTTTGGTGACACTCTTCACTTCTCATTTCATACTTAGTTAGCTTCTCATTTCTCTTAGGAAAAATCTTTACCACAGCCACAGTCTATATGAGTGTGTCGGGCCCAGTGTGCCCCACACAGTCTCCCTCTTTTGTAGCTCTGAGTCCCTGACTTTCTCTGTGTCTCTGTGTCTCTGTGTCTGTCTCTCTGTCTCTGTCTGTCTTTCTGTCTCTGTCTCTCTGTCTCTGTCTCTCTCTGTCTCTGTCTCTCCCTCCCCCCTCCCGTATTTCTTTCTTGATAATGGTTCTTTCTTCATATTAGCGTCGAGCTTTCCCATCCACCACGACCGTGCCTTCCACTCTACAGTCCGTTTCTTCTTAGAACAGAATGTTCTCCAGCCAAAAGACTCTCTGCCCTCTCTAGAAGTTGTCACTCACTTGAAAAACCATTCGATAAATGTTTATATGTTTTCAAGATCCTCAACCCCAGGGAGCCAAGGTTACAAGTGTCTTGCTTCTAGTGGCAGCCTTAGGAGTCATTTATTTCCCTGGCGAGAGACCAATGAAAGGGGTACAGCAAGGGGAACCAACGTGGCTAAGGTTATGTTTTTTAAGGAATGAGGGTCATAAAAGAGTGAGCCTGGGGATACTGGTGAGGATGAAAAGGAGAGAGTCTTGTATTCATCCCTCAAACTCAGAATGGCCAGCTAGTCTCCCTGGATGGACAGACAGAAAGGCAGAATGCAGCGGTACAGTCTGGTTACACCAGCATCCGCTCCCTTCTGGGACTATAGGAGCTGGGGCTGTGCCCTAACCACAAATTTGTCAGGACACCGAAGCTGTACTCTGTCCCTTCAGGTCTTGCCATGAACTAAGCTGAGGACTTTGCATAGAGACTTGGCATTTCGTTAACCTGAGGTTGGCCAGGACATTAAGTGAAGGCATTACACTTGAGGCGATGACCCTCAGGGGGCCAGTGAAGACTCAGGCAGTTAGTTATATTGTGCATGTGCAAGTATGTTTATATGCATGTATGTGTGCTTGTGAATGTATGTGTAAATGCATGCACTGTATATGTGTGTGTATGCAGGTGTGGGTGTGCAAGCATGTGCTCATGCGTGTACATGTGTTTGTGAGTGTGTGTGAGCATGTGTATGCATGTTTGTGTACAAGTGTGTTAGCGTGTTTGCAAGTATGCTTGTGCATGTGTGTTTTTCTGGGGAGATGTGAACAACCATGGCTTTACTCATGCTAGAGCATTGACAACAGACTTATGATATGATTCCTCCCAAATCTCACTTAATGAGGCAATGACTTTACTGGTGTCACAGGATCACAGGTGACAAAAAGGCCCACACCAGCATCGGGGAAGACTCACAGCCATGACACACCTGGTGCCCTCTGCTCAAGTGGCAGGCATCTCAAGCAAAGAGAATTTCCTAACACTAACACTTGTTTCTCAGTTCTACAATGCTCTAGCATTGTATGGATCATACAAACCACGCAGGATTCTGAAGATCACAAATCTTGAGCTTCCTGTCTGTCTCTGGGAAGGAACATTTCGACTCACAGGAAATAGCTACATGCATGTGCTCTGGGGTAAGGGCATGCTAGCTACCTCTTTGAAGTCTGAGGGCTTTTCTACATTTCTCTATTCAAAAGCTGCTGCTTTCAACTAACCTCTGCCACTCACTCAAGTGACCTACCAAATACAAATCCCAAAGTGTAGTGAGAGAAATCTCAGAGGAATTTTGCACCCAGAGGTCTGGAAAGCTTAATCCTTAGAAAGGGCTAGTTCTAAATAACCTACCCTGTAAAAGGTGAAAAGGTATCCAAGTGTGGAGACCCAAGGACTCCCTAACAAGCAACAGCATGACACATGGGCATTGGAGAAGGCCTCGTGGGTGTCAGTCCCAGCTCTGCCATACAAAAGGTGGCTACCCTGGGACAGGGAATCCAACGTTCCCATGGCTCCATTTCTTGTGTAAAATGGGACAATCGTTCGTAGCTCACAGGGCTGATGTAAGAGCAAATGAGTTAATATCTGTTCCTTTATGTGGCGGGTGCTCCCGTGGGGGTCCTACATAATCTTTGAGGAACCAGGATTTGTAGCCCCATTTGAATATAGACATTTGCAGCCTCCACTTTGAGCGGCTGTTCACTACTGCAAACATGGCCATGCAATCAGAAATTGTGCAAAACAATTTTGAAACTCTAAAGAATATTTGTTATTTTCTATGACCTTAAAAACTTTCTGTCAAAACATTACTCTTACCACAATTTATACTTCTATAGAGAAACATAATAAAATATTTTCATATACAATAATTTACAAATTTGTATCTTAAAGTGATTTTTCCTTGTTCTCTCTCTCTCTCTCTCTCTCTCTCTCTCTCTCTCTCTCTCTCTCTCCCTCTCTCTCTCTTTGTCTCACTCTCCAAGCAAGATTTTTGTGACTTTTTTTTTTTTTTTTAGACAGGGCTTCTTTGTGTGTTCCTGCCTGTCCTGGAACTTGCTCTGTAGACCAGGTTTGCCTTGTCTCTGCTCCTGAGTGCTGGGATTAAATGCATGTGTAACCATTACCTGGCCCAAGCAAGGTTCTTAAGACAGGTGTAGTGTTATATTCCCATAGGCCCAGTACTGGCAGGCGCCTGCAAGTTTCAAGCCAGCCTGGGTTATATAACATGAACCCCCTTTTAAAAAAAGAAGATTATCAACAGTATTTCAAATTACTTCCTTTCTTCTCTCCCATTATTTAACTGTTTTAGGTGTGTGTATTCAAATGCTTGAGTGCTATCGTGGTGGTCAGAAGGCAATGTAAGGGTCGGTTCTCTCCTTCTACCTTGTGGGTTCCAGGGTTCAAATTCAGACTGCAAGCGCCTTTACCCCCTGAGCTATCTCACTGGCCTGCTTCCCTTTTCTATTGAGCACCTTTTTTTTTTCTGCAAGAGAAAGAAACCTCAACCTGTTCAAAGTAGCCACTGATTAACAGGGAGCAGCTGCAAGCAGCTGCGACTCTTCCTTCTCCACTTAGATCAGTTGGAACACTGTAACATAAGCTCCTCAGCATACGCAGACACTTTTCCAGTGTCTTGAACTTTATTATTGAAGTGTTAGAGTAATATAATATAATGAGTTAACAAATGATGAACGAACTGAATGAATTCAACTGTGAAATTTCTGTGGTGGCTGGAAACCAAAGGTTGCAAACAGGTCAGGGGAGGAACGTTATTACATAGCACCTTAGAGTCTGGTGAAAGTTATGGCCTTTCTCCTCTCAAAAGTGCATGTGACGACTGAGGAGACCCTATTCCATCTGGCTGCTTACAGAATGCACTATCCATTCCCAGACCTTAGAGCAGGCAACTCACAGGTGCCTGTGACTCTATAGCGCCCTCTTCTGGCCTCCTCGAGCACCTGCATAAATATGTGTATACATACATGCAGATAAATTTTTTTTTTTAAAGTGTATGTGAGCACATACAAAAATTTCTGCAGGATATCAGGGGATCCACAGAGCTCCTGGCATCCAATTTGAAATCACTTTTGTGGACATAGAGTACCAGTGTCTCACACTCAGCTAATCTTGGCAAGTCTCCTAAACTTCTGGCTCTAAGCTTGGAGTGGGTCATTTGCCATTGGAAAATGCATTTGATGATAATGATACAAGTCTCTTCAACTTGTTTTTTTTTTTTGGGGGGTACTACTACCATCCCTAAAGCTCCTCCCTGTAAAAGGAATTGAAAAAACCTGACTGAAGACACATTCAGCATCATGCTGTTGTTGAAACAAGCAGGTCCAGTAGCTTAGCCTAAAGGGAATGACATGCACAGGGCACAAGCCATCACTGGGAGCAGACAGCTGAATGGCACCTGAGTCGCTGCTGGGCACACTACCCTTCCTGTTCTCCTTCTCTGCCCACCCCATCTTTCCCCCTCTTTATTATTCCTGTTCTGTGCCTCCCTTCATCCCCGCTGCCTCTCCTCCTGACTCCTGTGAACACTGTTTAACCAGCCTATGATTCTAGTTCTACATCCTCATTAAAGCCACCAGACAAAGAGTGTCATGTGTAACATGTCTTGAATTTCATAGGCACCCTAATGAAGACTCCTTGAACACTTTGGTGTCTAAGAAATGCATTCTTTCTGTAGAAGAGTATAGTTTGGAAAAGTAATTTTGATCAAGGGTAGGAATTGGGACATTGTGCATGTTGATTTATTTTTAATTATATTTAGCGTGTGTGTGTGCGTGTGTGTATGTATTTGTGTCTGTGGGTCTGTCTGTCTTGGGGGATGAACTCAGGTTGTTAGACTTGGGGTCAGGAGACTTTACCTGTTCTTGTTTGTTTTTATTAATCAAATTTGCTTTCAATAAGGAGGGTTGCCTCAGCACATGCTGGTGATGAAATCACAGCATTGGGATTGTTCCTCTGGAACGAACTTCAGAGAGTTGACTTACGATTGAGCGTGCACGTCACTCTATCCACTCAAGGACAAGATGATAAGGTTCTATCAGACCAACTGTTGAGCAGAACCTGAGCCTCCCAAGGCCATCCTTGTTTTGACTTGTGACCACAAATTTGTCTTGTCTAAGTGTTCAATAACTATAAAACAAAATTCCCATCCATCTCTCCAGCCCAGCATCCTTACAAGAGACAGGAGGCGAACCTCTGGGCTACATTCTAACTTCACTGTTTTCTTCCCATAGAACATTTTTCCTTCTGAGGGAAAATAGCTCAAGATGTTTTTGGAAATGCTGAACCCCATGCACTATAACGTCACCATCATGGTCCCAGAAACAGTACCTATCAGTGCCATGCCACTCCTGCTGATCATGGGCCTCCTTCTCCTGATTTGGAATTGTGAGAGCTCATCTTCAATACCGGGTAAGCTGCTGCTTTAATTCTATACCTATAGAAGTGTTTCATGGGGCTCTTTGGTCCATGGCATGCATATATATATATATATATATATATATATATATATATATATATAATTTATTTATTTTGTAAAAAGAGCAAACCTGGGAACTGCCACTGTACTTGTAGCACAGCTTACAAGCTGAACTCATAAGTTTTAGGAAACATTAAACTGATGGCCTGACATCAGTGAACTGATGTTCACGACAGATGAACACATCACAAATGGATGCTTTGGGAGGTTTGAGATGGAGTGGCCAAGGTCAAATTCCAGAATTTTTGGTTAAGTTAAAACAACCACCACCAGATTCTAATTAATTCCTGCCCTGCTCTGCAAGCGAAGCGTCACTGGGCTGCTCTCTTTTGTGTCCTCTTCCTTCTCCTCTGCCCTCCCTTCTGCCCTCACCGACACCTTCCCCTCCATTCCTTGCATTTATCTTTTCTCTCAATCTTATTCTTCATTTCTCTTATTGGCAGCATGGTGATGGTGGTGTTGCCATAGGAGTTGAATGGGAGCTAGGTATTGGGAGAAGAGCAGGGCCTAGACCCATTCTCTGGGAGCATCACAGTCTGATGGAGTCATCCAAAGGTCTTTGAGTCAGTCAAAAGCAGAGACTAATATAATTCTTCTGATAATCTCAGTAACCAATTTTGCCACCAGGGCTGAAATGATCAATTATCAAGTTAATTCAGAGTAAACAGAAATTTCAGATAATGTCTTTAAGTTTAGGTGTGAGTTCATCACAGCTTCTAACTCCGTAGGATATCCAACAAGGTCTGTTTCAATACCATAGTAACCACACATTCACAAATGCTCCGAGACTCTGCCCAGGGCAATTGAAAGTGGTAGGTGCCCTGGGGACCAAATGCTGTGCCTGGATTCTTTCTGAAGTGTTGCCCGTAGTTGCCCTTCTATCTGATTCAGCCTGGCACTTTAATTTCTAATTTAGCTGACAGAGTTAAGTTGTTGACGTCTACCTGGTGGCATCACCTCCAGGCAGAAAGCCTCCAGTAATCATGGCGTTGGCTTGAATGCTCCCTTCCACAGATTTCCTTTCCCCTGGTGAGCTCCTTGGTCAGGGGAAAGGAGTAGCTGAGATTAAGAATGAGGGTAGGGTAGAGTAGAACACTTTCTCCTCTGTTTCCCTGTCATAGGCTCAGGTGCTAAAGTCCAACCTACCTGTATCATAAAAGCATCTTGCAAACAGAAAAAGATCAGCATTGTAAGTCAAGGAAGCCTCACAATTCTCAAATTTTAGTAGAAGAACAACTTTAAAGGAGAGAGTTTGCTAGACGATTCCCTTCCCCAGAGTGTTTGAATTGCAACCTTAAACAGTTTTGTTGTCGTTGTTGGATATTTTGTTTTGTTTTTGAGACAGGGTCTCACTATGCAGCCCTGGCTATTCAACTGGCCTGAAACTCCTTATGTAATGTAGACCAGACTGATGTTGAACTCACAGAGATTTAGCTGCCTCTCCCTCCTGAGTGCTAGGATTAAAATCACTTCTAAAAGAAGCGCAGTGAGAACTAACCGTGCTCGGGCCTGGGTCAGGGAGGGAGATGGTACTTCCTGTGCTTACCACTTCTGGGCCAGGGATATGGAACTGCTTGTCTTCAGTGTCAGTCACCTAGACAGCACAGTGGTCCTGTTTGAGGTAGAGCTTTGGGATTGATACGGTAAAACCTTTCCTTGGTGGTTTTTTCATGGGCAGCCAAGTTTGAGAGCCATAGAGATAAGCCCAACTCCCTCATGTGACAGAAGGGGAAAGCCCCTAATGATATATATCTGTGTTGCCAAGTAACACAGTTTAAGTAAGAGAAGTCAGAAAGTCCAAACAAAATAAAGGGTTAAATCTCAGAGGAAGGAAATGGCCTGCTGATGCCCAGCTAGAAGGAAGACAGGAGCCTTGATAGAAGGCCAGAAACTTCTAGGAGGACTTCAGACTGGGTTCCTACGTTACATTCATGCTTTGGAAATACGAGGTCTGATCAGTTCTCTACACAGGCACAGCCCAGGATTCTCTGTCTCCCATCAGACACAGGAAATAAGAAAATTGGTCTGTCCTCCCAACTCTTCTGTCACTGCTCCCAAATAATAGCTCTCTGGGCTCTTGGGTTCACAAGTTTGAGGGTATTCCGGGTCCTAAAAAGCCTAAGGGAATTTAAAAGCCATAGTGACTAAAAGCCTTACCTTACATTTAGCCTTACATTTTGATTAAGGCAACTTCCTGCTCACTCTGTCTCCTAATGTTGGTGACAGTGTCTTTTATTTTTGTAGAAGAAATTGGAGTCAAAGAGGAGAGGCTTTATCCCATGTGTTGTGGCTCAGGGATGGGTCTAAGCCTTGTCATTTACGCTTGCTGAGAGGTCCAGCTAGATCTGGTGCTTGGCCTCAAGGGATGGGCAAGGAACAAAGGTGTGGGTCCAGACCTGGAAAGTAACAAAGGCAAGCTGATACAGAGGGGAAGGAGGCTTCGAAAGTTGGGAAGCAAAGACTGATTCTCCTGGTAGGTGGTGCCACTTCAATTCTGACCAATATCCCAAATCCCCTAGTTCAGGGTTTGTTGTCTTCTCCCTGGCAACCCTCCCTTCCTCAAGAACACATGGCTGATCATCTTGACACTGGGTTCTCTCCCCACAGATAATATATTCTTCCCTGGACACACACAGAGAGCATGACAAGAGGGAGCAAACACAAAATGTCCCTTTTTTTCTCTTAAGAAAATACTTCACAGAAAACTGTACAAGTTGACGACAGACTTGCTATCAGAGTCTTGTATAAGGAATAGGGTGCTAACTGTTCTAGATTCCATTCTTGCTGTCCTCTCTCCCTCTATTTCTCTTCTTCCCTCTCTCCCTCACTCCCTCCTCTTTTTTCCCCTTATGTCTCTTTCAGAGGTAAATGTTTTTTTTCTGGATTTTGTAACAATTACATCCTTGTTTTGTTACAGTTTGAGACCCAATTTCACATCATCAGACAATATAGGTGTTTTGTTTTGTTTTAGATATTGTATACTGTTTGTCTCCCTTGGTCCTTTTGATTACCATTAGGTCAGTAGGATCCATCCAGACAGGGATAGCATTGCGCTTCCTTTCCACTGCTATACAGCCTTGAGCATTGTAAAAATCTCATGGTTCATAGATCAGACAATGTCTCCAGCTGGGGTCCTAAGGACAGTCTTGCTGTAAAAAGAAAGTGTGTGCATGGGTCTCTTGAGGGTGTATCCATAGGTGTGAAGGCCAGTTTCCCACCTAGGAGAGCTGCTAAGTGTTGCTAGCTATTGGCTTTAAGGAGGCTCTCTGGGAACATCAGTGGACAGTGACATACTATTTATCACTCCTGGGAGTGGGCTGAGGGACTCTCCTGAAATCAGTCTATGTCTAGAGAAGCAGTCCCAATCTGAGAAGCCTAGAGCTGCCTAACACGGAAGCAACTAGAATACGTCCCTCATATTTTATCCACCCATGGTTCAAGATTTACATGTCAATGTAAGGAGTATATGACATAGATATACATGTACAATGTGCCATAATATTTGATTTTGTAGCTTTTACATCTTCTTCATAACTACTCTGTAAGAATATAGAGTAATTTTACAAGTTGACGATATGTACATGGTTATCGCAGTTATCTCTAGGCCCTGACTTGGAACAAATATCTAAACTAGGATCTCAGGAAATGTTTATTGGATGAACTAAAGTGACATATAGTTGGTCATTAAATATCTCAAATTCTGCTTTTCTTTCTGGTAGAGCATTCAACTTCTTCCTTCCTTCCTTCCTTCCTTCCTTCCTTCCTTCCTTCCTTCCTTCCTCCCTCCCTCTCTCTGTCTCTCTCTCTCCTTCCTTCCTTCATTCTTTCATTCTTTCTTTCCTTTTTTCTTTCTTTCTTCTAGACAGGGCTTCTTTGTGTAGCCCTAGTTGTCCTAGAACTTACTCTGTAGACCAGGCTGGCCCTGAATTCAGTGATCTACTGCCTTTGCCTCCTGAGTGCTGGGATTAAAGCCTTATACCACCACTGCTGCCGCCTGGCCAACTACAAAGACTCTTAACCCATATATTGTCTAGCAAGCTTCATTTTTCAGTATATATAAATCTTCATTGTCATATCTTTTTAAATAAATGTTTTCATTTGGGCCAGGTATGGTGACACACACCTTTAATATCAACATTTGGGAGGCAGAGGCAGGCAGATCTCTGTGAGTTCGAGACCACCCTGGTCTACATAGCAAGTTCCAGGTCAACCAGGTGCTACATAGTAAGACCCACTGCAAAATGTTTTTATTTTGATAATTTTTATGTTTTACAATAGGAGAATACTATGCTAGTAGGGGAATAGTGTCTCCCAAATATAAGTCATTTATAGTATTGTCTGTGTGCTTCATGGAGCTTGACTATTAAGTAAATATTTGTAGACAAGTCTTTTTTTAGTCATGTCAATACTTGGCCTCATGTAGATATGTTATGTAATATTCTTCTACTTTTGATCTAAATATAAAAACATCCTAAAATACTCTAAAGAAGAACAATTGTTGTTATTTCATTTAAAAATTTATTTGTGTGTGCATGCGTACGTGTGTATATATGTGTGTATGGGGTGTGTGTGTGTATGAAGGACAACACTCAAAAATTCACTCTTTATAGCATATACACATACCCAGCTTATTTAAAAACACTTGCAAGCATCTGTGATGTACTATTATAATATAAATGGTATTTTGTTTACAACATGTATTTTAAAGATTAAAAATTGATATAGCTGATATTTTGAAGAAATATGCATTTGATCAAATCTGCTTCTTTAACTCTTTGAACAAACATAAGGGAATTGTTTTACTATAACGACAGCCACCAATGATATAATATAGTGTGTTACTAGAGTTAGAACATTGAAAACCATCGACTATATTTTGATTCTATTGATTTTTTTTTATTCAAAGATCTTTTCTTCAAACAGGAGGAGGAGGTCTGATAACTGTATTAATAAGAACTTGGTTACCCCACAGTGAACGGCTAAGCAGGGTTTGCCACATTTGGGAGTGAACATCCAGGTCAGATGGTTCAGTTGAAAGCTTACACCTTCTACATTATTACACAGATCTTGTAGTCTCATACAACCAGACATGGTTTTGCCTTCATAATGATCTCACTGACAATGTGGAATTTTTAAAAATACTTAGAAAAAAATATTGTCCATAGTAAATTTTAAAGTGTATTTTTATTTAACTTTTTACCAACCTCTAGTAAAATAAAGTCTACCAGGTCTGATTGGAATCCCAGCACTTGGAAATCTGAGATGGGAGAATCTTGGTGTTCAAGGATAGCCTGAGCTAAGTAGTTTAACCTTGTCTCAAAAAAAATGAAACGAAACAAAAACACAAAGGGTAACTACACACATGGATGAAAATGCTGTAGTGAAATACATTACTTTGTTTTCTAACCTACAAAGTTAACAGAACAAACTCAAGCTACAAGTTTGCTTTGTGACATAAACCACATACAATTCCCTCCTTTTCCCCTGGGTTTTCATGTTGCATAATTTTCCCGTTGTCTATGTAAGCTGGAAACTGTCCTCTGCTGAAACCAGATCCTGGTACGTGAGCCCTAGTGTAGACTGTGAGTTCTACATTGTAATAATGAGTTCTGAGGTTTGTATTACCTCACGAGATTTTTGCTCAAGACTCCTTTTCATAAACCAAGCCTTTTAAAAGCAGTACATGTTTTTAGACTGGACATTGCTATCCTTGCAGATCTTCCCTCAGATGAAAGAAAGCCATGCTTGGTTCTAGTCAACTCACTGTGTCAGCTGGGCTGTTCACAACCGAGAACTTCCAGCTAAGAGCAGCAGGCAGCCATACAGTTTCGTCAGCTTGTCGTCTGTCATGGTTTCTATGCTTATTATCAAACAGATAAACTGACTTTTATTCCAGACTCTTAGAAAGATCGTATAGCCTCCCGTTTAGTGGAACTCTGACAACGGATCAAGGGTAGCTACTGTGAAGTCAGGTGCTTTTCATTCATGAAGTGGTGGAGAGTCTCGCATGATCTTTGCTTTTGTTTTAAATCACATTGAGTGACTCCCATATAGACTCCAGAAGATATAAAAAATATGGACTATGAAAGGACAACCTTTTTTTGGCATTATTTAGAAGTTCACTGTGTTCTTACAATCTGTTGTAGGTCCTGGCTACTGTCTGGGAATCGGGCCCCTCATTTCCCATGGCAGATTCTTGTGGATGGGGATTGGAAGCGCCTCCAACTACTACAATAAGCTGTATGGAGAGTTCATGAGGGTCTGGATCTGTGGAGAGGAGACACTCATTATCAGCAAGTGAGTCCGGGAATAAACAAGGCTAGCGTGGCCGAGGGCGCAGCTCAGCAGGAAGGTGTACTTAGTGTGTGCCAGGCCTGGGCTCCACTCAGTACTCAAACCCCTCTTGTGCTCAGACTACTTCCACTGCCTCCTTAAAATCAAGGGTGATGCTTTCCCTATTTTTAAAAATAAGGCTGAGTTTTCTCTACTAAAAAGTCACTTCATTTTGAAGCTTGATATTTTGGTAAAGTTACATTTTTTTTTCCTCTGTGAAATGAAGGTGACAAATGGCCGTGTAGTACTCTGATACTGTGGACAAGCAAAATAATGAAAACTTTCTTGAGTTGAAGCCAGAGACACGTAGATAAAGAACCATAGGACATTGGGAAATCATTCAAAATTTCTCTGAGTCACAAATGTGGAAACTTGAAGACCAGATGGCTTGGCTTTTGCCAAACATGCTTTAGGGAAGACATGCCATGTTTTCTGCTTCTGAGCTTTTGGGATTATTTCTACAAGTAAGCGAATAAAAAAGCAAAAACAAAAACAGTCCCCCAAATCCTTAAACAACAAAATGGAAGCCGATATGTGACCAGTAGCTTCCAGTTTACTCTGCAGGCTACTGAAAACCTGTAAGGTGTCAGACAGCAAAGGCAGAAGCCACCAGCTGCTGTCCTCCAATCAATGGCAGTGAGCCAGTGTCTGGGCAGAGCCATCTGAAACCAACTGTCCAATCAATGGCTGTGAACCAGTGTCTGGGCGGAGCCATCTGAAACCAACTGAGACCAGTAGTGCCCTTTAAAAACCAAAGTTCTCCTTCCTGACTTGTTATACTCTGCTGGATTGCATTCATCCTGGAATTTACAAAGTTCTTGTTGACTGTTAAGAAGGAACTGTTTTCTTGTTTACTAGTTTTCTTGTCTATTGACCTGAGAAGATAGAGAAATTTTAAAAGATTCCTCTATACTTCCAGCTAGCTTGACTTTTAGCAAAGTTTTCTACAACCACTATATATTTTAATGTTAATGAATCTGACAGGGCTTTTCCCATTAGCTAACACCTACCAGGGCGTTTTACTGATTTGTTTGATTATATATGTCCGTTTATCGATTACAACAGTGCCCTTGAAGCCCAGTTCTTTGAAGTAAATACGCAAAGAAGGGCACACAGGTGAAAAGCATCCTATAATTCCAAATATTTCAGTCTATCCAATCATGTTGTTCTGGGTCTATTTAATTCCCTAGTTTTTGCCTGAGGTGTCCTTCTGATGTTGTAGCGCTCTGAAGAATGGCTGAGGCAGGCTACGTCTCCGGAGCCATGAGCAGCTGTGGTGGTGGTGGTGGGGGATGGGCGTGGATGTGTCATGCTCCTCATGGAGCAGCAGCGCAGAAGTTTCCTGGCGGGCTTCCTTCACTAGCAACAGCTGCACTGCTCAGAACTTGTTAGACATGCACATGCTTGTACCCCACCAGGACCTACTAAACAAACACCCGGACTAGAGCCCCCGCGGTCTGGATCTGCTTTCATCAAGTTTGGAGATGGTTCAGATGCATCGCTCCAGTGTGACTAGACCACAATTACACTTCGATTTGATATGTTAAGATCTACTGAAGTCTGGTCATTCTAATTCAAGCAAATTGGAGATGTTTTCTCTCCGTCTTTAGTGTTTTAGTCACCTTTCCAATAGGTTATTGTCTTTAAAACAATGTTTTGTGACCAATGCTATTTAGGACTGTCTAGGACAGTTCCTCCTGCAGTTTCACCCCCCAGCACAGAGAACAGTTTTCTAGCCCTACTCTACTCAGCATGGCTTCTGTTCCCCAGTTTCTCTTGGCAAACAGAGTGATACGTATTCAAACGCCTGATCTGCCTGAGCAAAGCTCTGTCTTAGGAGATGCTTTAGGTAGGCAGGGAGCGTACAGGAATTCTAGGGCATAGGCCCTGAGACCTAGCCTGGCTGTGGGCAGATACCAGTCCTGCTTCTAAGGTCTCCAGGTGAGTCCAGAGAGCTGTGGAGCTTGGCAAGCTCCCACCTGGAAAGAAGGGAAGCTGTTTCTGGGCAAGAGTGCTTTTCTCCAGGACAAGCGCAAAGAACTAAATAGCGCTTGGGGGTTTTCCTCTTACTGCGGTATGCTTGAGTCTAGCCAAGGAGAGGCTAGTATAAGACTAGATTTGAAACGAAGAATAATGGATCTGCGGACACAGCAGTAGTAAAATCCCTTCCAGAGAGTGGACATTTAGAAACTGAGATCACTAGACAAATTCACGGGTGCCCCTAAAGTGGGGTCCTTGGCACAGCCAGGATTCTCTACCCTTCTTCACTAGGAAAGCGGCCCTTAGCGACTCTGGCCAGCACAGTACTGACTCGCACAGAGGCGCAGACTCGACCTGCCTACCCTCTCCCCAGCTGTCTCATCTCCCTTCCTGTTATGTTCCCTCAGCGAGCCTTTCACTTGTTGGAGTCTTTGTGTTCTCCTTAATTGCCTCCCAGCCCTCCATTTTGTTGTTAAAGGCTGAGCTGCTCTCTGGAGTAGGACTTGTTTGTCCCCATCTCCCTCCCTTGTCCGCTCTTCAAGTCCTTTCCAGAACTACCTGTGCCTCTTGAAACGACCCCATTGGACCTCAGAAAGATTGTTATTTTGCCAGAGTTCTTTTCCATTTGAAAAGTTTGAGGTTTAGAGTCATCACAACTGTGTGATGTCTAAAGTCCAGCTTTTCAAACTAGTCCTGTCCCAAAGGAGCTCTTTCAGAATTTCAGGTTAGACAATCAGGAGTGCTGATTGCATGCTGCCTGGACATCTTGGAGACTTTGAGGTAAGGCCCTAGATGTGAATGCTTATGGAATCTGCACTAAAGCATACATAGTGCCCTTGGGGAGCTAATGTTCTACACCAGGGCCTATGGATGCTGTGTTAGATGCCCACTATATGTACATTTATTTTTGTCACAAATACAAAAATAAAATAATCTGAGCATCATTCATAAAGGATAATCAACAATTAACATGCTAATGGAAGTTTTATTTGCATATCTGTCTTAATTATGTGTAAATTTACAAGGAATTTGTTCAACTTATATTGATAGCTTATGTATTAACAGTAGTAATTGGCTTTCTATTCCTTTGATAAATGAGAAGGCATTGCATCAGGCTCTTCTCTAGGAATATAGCAATATTACATTTAGAAAATAAGAACAGCTCGAAGTTCCCACTCTCATGGAAGAGCATACTGTTAGTGTACTCTGAATAAAGAAGTGATGTGCACAGTATAACCATGCATTCCTTAATATAGGTGCATGCTGAGAAATGCATCCTGAGGACACTTTGTCACCATAGAGTATATAAGATGACCATGATGGTTGTCAGGTGACATAGTCTCCTGAGGTCACAGTGTTAACTGTGCAGCCTGTCTGTGATGGAAGTGTCATTATGGTGTGTATACATGATGGCCAACTGCTCAGTTTGCCTGCGATTAGGAAATTTCTAAGCTAGGGTATTTCTAACGATAAATTGAGACAATCCCAAGGGAACCGAGTAGCTGTGTACCGTATGGGAAAAAGTTGGGAATAAAAGATTGGGGCAGGGTTAGCTGTAGTATAATTGTGTGTGGGTGGTTTGGGGCAGGCCTCACTGACTACTGACTTAGGAGCAGAACTGGGGAGGTGATTCAGTGGACATAGTTGGAAGAATAGTCATCGTTGATTCCTGACATCAACCGAAGGCTTCCACCAACACAATTATGCCTACATAAATGAAGATGTGGGTGTACACACACACACACACACACACACACACACGGAAAAATAAAACAAATACACTTTTCAAAAGACTTGAAGTGAGGACATGACCCAGGTAGAATTCTGGAGAAAATGTGCGTCATACAGAAGGAACAGGAGGTACAGAGGGCCCGAGGCAGAGCCTATCTAAACCGTTCAAGAAACAGCAAAGACGGCACAGAGACTGAAAGGAAACACAGTAACAACTAGAGACAATAAGGCACCTGATCATGTGACTCCTGTGAGTTCTGATAAGGGATGGAGAACTACAGAGGGATGATGATGAAGGACAAAAGGTGTGTGTGCTGTATGTGTGTGTTGTGTGTGCTGGGTGTGTGAGTGTGTGTGTGCTGGGTGTGTATATGAGTGTGTGTATGTGTGTTGTGTGTGTGTGCTCTGTGTGTGTATGAGTGTGTGTGTGCTATGTGTGTGTGTGCTGGGTGAAATGTGATGATGTCCCAGGGACACATGGAGGGACTGACTTTGAATAGGACGTATCCTTTCACTCATAGCAATCAGAAGGAAGGCTGAATGTATAGCTTAGGTCCCAGGGATTGTCTTCTAATTTCCACTCTTTCCTCAGGAAAATTTCTAAAGTCTTAGTTTGGAGGAGAGACTCACAACAGAGATTGCGAGAAAGAGAATGGAAGGACACTGAGTAGAAACGCTGAATGGCATGGAGGACCCACTTGAATTTAATTAAGATCTTTCTCTGTCCTTCTGTCTGTCCATCTCTCCCTCTCCCCTC